TCAGCTAATAAAAACTAAGCCAACACTGACGGTGAGATGCACTAGAGAATTAGAATGTGTTCTGTCAAAATACCTACGCTAAGAATGTTTATATTTTAGTTCCCAGAAAACCTTTATTGGTCTCCCTCCATCATCCCAAGAAGGGCTTCCATGTCTCCCTCCATCATCCCAAGAAGGGCTGCTGTGTCTCCCTCCATCACACCAAGAAGGGCTGCGGTGTCTCCCTCCATCACCCCAAGAAGGGCAGCTGTGTCTCCCTCCATTACACCAAGAAGGGCTGCGGTGTCTCCCTCCATCACCCCAAGAAGGGCTGCCGTGTCTCCCTCCATCATCCCAAGAAGGGCTGCCGTGTCTCTCTCCATCATCCCAAGAAGGGCTGCGGTGTCTCCCTCCATCACCCCAAGAAGGGCTGCGGTGTCTCCCTCCATCACCCCAAGAAGGGCTGCGGTGTCTCCCTCCATCATCCCAAGAAGGGCTGCCGTGTCTCTCTCCATCATCCCAAGAAGGGCTGTGGTGTCTCCCTCCATCACCCCAAGAAGGGCTGCCGTGTCTCCCTCCATCATCCCCAGAAGGGCTGCGGTGTCTCTCTCCATCACCCCAAGAAGGGTCGCTGTGTCTCCCTCCATCACCCCAAGAAGGGCTGCGGTGTCTCTCTCCATCATCCCAAGAGGGGCTGCTGTGTCTCTCTCCATCACCCCAAGAAGGGTCGCTGTGTCTCCCTCCATCACCCCAAGAAGGGCTGCGGTGTCTCTCTCCATCATCCCAAGAGGGGCTGCTGTGTCTCTCTCCATCATCCCAAAAAGGGCTGCGGTGTCTCTCTCCATCATCCCCAGAAGGGCTGCTGTTTCCCTCCATCATCCCAAGAAGGGCTGCCGTGTCTCCCTCCATCACCCCAAGAAGGGTGCTGTGTCTCCCTCCATCATCCCAAGAAGGGCTGCCGTGTCTCCCTCCATCACCCCAAGAAGGGCTGCCGTGTCTCCCTCCATCATCCCAAGAAGGGCTGCCATGTCTCCCTCCATCATCCCAAGAAGGGCTGCCGTGTCTCCCTCCATCATCCCAAGAAGGGCCGCTGTGTCCCCCTCCATCATCTCAAGAAGGGCCGCTGTGTCTCTCTCCATCACCCAAAGAAGGGCTGCGGTGTCTCCCTCCATCACCCCAAGAAGGGCTGCCGTGTCTCCCTCCATCATCCCAAGAAGGGCTGCGGTGTCTCTCTCAATCATCCCAAGAAGGGCTGCTGTGTCTCCCTCCATCATCCCAAGAAGGGCTGCTTTGTCTCCCTCCATCATACCAAGAAGGGCTGCTGTGTCTCCCCCCTCATCATCCCAAGAAGGGCTGTCGTGTCTCTCTCCATCATCCCAAGAAGGGCTGCCGTGTCTCTCTCCATCATCTTGTGGCAGGTTACTCGGTCTCCAGCCCACCACAGCAGATCAACAGCCGAGCTCGCTCTATTGATCATATCTACCAAGTGGTCTATCAACAGGATCATTCTTATATCTCTAGAGTATGGTGCAACAAAGGAAGGCCAACTATCTTTATGGTAATCATTGGTTAAAAATATATGATTGCCATACACCAGTTCAGCACAGAGCAGGTCACACTCCAGGCTGTCTTCCTGTTTTGCTTCTTCAACTCACACTGTGGCCTGGGCAGACGGTAAACAATCCCATCCTGTAATTGCTGTTATGTCTGCAATAATGTATCATTTACCTCTTCCAGGCCAGATATGAAAAAGTTTATGACCCAAAGCAGATAACTCTTACAAATGACATTTAAACTTTATAGATAAGGCTGACTGAGATGTGGAAGCAAGGCAGGAGCCCCACACACTGTTACTGATACCTTTGCCAATCCTTAAAACCACATGCATCTTCCAGTTGTAACAACATTAAGATTAAACTCAACCTTATGGTGAAATAAGGAAGAAACACTGATGTCATTCTCACGAACAGTTTGCACCATGACTACAGACTTGAATACTGTTCTTTAACCCTGAAGCATGTGCCTGTGTATGGAAACATTGAGCACATCCGTGTGTGTGTACGTGTGTGTGTGTGTGAGTGTGCATGCATCTGTGTGTGTGTGCGTGCGTGCGCGTACCTCTGTGTTTGGGCGTGTCTGTGTCTGTGTGTGAATGATGTCTATGTGTGTGTGTCTGTAAGTGTGCGTGCGATTGAGTGTGAGTGTGCACATCTATGTTTGTGTGTCCATCTGTGTGTGTGTCTGTGTGAGCACACTGTGTGTGTGTGTGTGTGTGTGTGTGTGTGAGCACACGTGTGTGTGTGTGTGTGTGTGTGTGTGTGTGTGTGTGTGTGTGTGTGTGTGTGTGTGTGTGTGCGTGTGCGCGCGTCTGCTTCTATTGTCTGTCTGTCTGCCTGCTTGTACTAATCTGGATTAATAATGAGTTTATAGTGCTAGCCCACTGAGATACCATGCATACCCTCCACACACAGTACACTGACTCCGAGCCGACCAGTCCTTGTTTTAGCACTTTAATGCCGAGCACCAGACAGGGTAACAACAAGTCACAGGCATGCAAGAAACACATTCACAGATGTCACCCTCCTGAATAGTTTGTACCTGTCTGCATTGTGACTGCAAACGTGAACACGGTTCATTAATCTTGCTCATTGAAGAATGATATTGCATCGGCCTGTCTGTACACATGCATGCAGGTGCATGAGGTGCATGTACAAGGTAGGATAATGATAATGTGTGCTTTGCCATTATTCAAAACTTTGTTTGTTTGTTGTTGAACACTGCACTCAGCAATATTCTAGCTATATGACGGTGGTCTGTAAATAATCGAGTCTTGACCAGACAATCCTGTGATTAACATCATGAGCATCCATCCACACAATTGGGGTACAATGACATGCATCAACCAAGTCAGCAAGCCTGACCACCCGATCCCATTAGTCTCCTCTTAGGACAAGCGGATCTTCACGAGTCTCAAAACTTTGGGTGGGAGAGACTGATGCACAGTAGCAGCAGATGAAGCAGTGTATAACACTCCCCCAAATTTCAGTCAGACAACCGACTGGCAACATTGCAAAGTTACCGGACAGGATAAAATGTTGCCAGTTCAGAAGTTTCTGGACTAACAAACAAAATTAACAAAAGGGTGAACATAAGAATAGTACTGTTCAATAATAGCTTATAATAGAAAATAACAAGAAGCCGGTGGATTGTCAACTCAGTAACTTTAACCCCCAACCATCGGGTATGCAACTTTTCAAAACTGACCATCCCATCAGGTACATCGACTGAAGAATGGATGAAGATGCGTGTTACATGTACTGACGCCACCGGTAATCACTCAACTGTAGGACACAAGATAACCTAAAGTTATATATATGCATGTTCTAGTCTTGTCGTGATGATTTTGTTTGTTTGTCATTTCATGTTGCTATGTGCAACATTCTTGATGTATTGCAACTGCCTGTAAATAATAAGGTCAGGACCAGTCAAACCAGTGATGTATGAGCATTCAACCAAGTCTCCAAACCAGAACAAGCAATCCTGTTACTGGCCTCACATGACAAGGTACCCCTACAGTGCATGCTGCATGACAGGTTTGAGATGGCAGTTCCACTTCCCCTTGGGTACCTACAAATACAATTGACACAAGCGATGGGGTGCAGGAGGCTTAGCCTGTGGGTGGGTGGCTCTTAAAACAAGCTTCAGACGCAGAGGGGTTGGCCTGTGGGTGGGTGGCTCTTAAAACAAGCTTCAGACGCAGGGGGCTTGGCCTGTGGGTGGGTGGCTCTTAAAACAAGCTTCAGACGCAGAGGGGTTGGCCTGTGGGTGGCTCTTATAACAAGCTTGGGGCAAAGAGGACACGGCCTATGGGTGTTTCTTCAAACAAGCTTGGGAAGCAGAGGACTTGGCCTGTGGGTGGCTCTTAAAACAAGCTTCAGATGCAGGGGGCTTGGCCTGTGGGTGGGTGGCTCTTAAAACAAGCTTCAGACGCAGAGGGGTTGGCCTGTGGGTGGCTCTTATAACAAGCTTGGGGCAAAGAGGACCCGGCCTATGGGTGTTTCTTCAAACAAGCTTGGGAAGCAGAGGACTTGGCCTGTGGGTGGCTCTTAAAACAAGCTTGGGGCAAAGAGGACACGGCCTATGGGTGTTTCTTCAAACAAGCTTGGGGTGCAGAGGACTTGGCCTGTGGGTGGCTCTTAAAACAAGCTTGGGGCAAAGAGGACACGGCCTATGGGTGTTTCTTCAAACAAGCTTGGGGTGCAGAGGACTTGGCCTGTGGGTGGCTCTTAAAACAAGCTTGGGGCAAAGAGGACACGGCCTATGGGTGTTTCTTCAAACAAGCTTGGGGTGCAGAGGACTTGGCCTGTGGGTGGCTCTTAAAACAAGCTTGGGGCAAAGAGGACACGGCCTATGGGTGTTTCTTCAAACAAGCTTGGGGTGCAGAGGACTTGGCCTGTGGGTGGCTCTTAAAACAAGCTTGGGGCAAAGAGGACACGGCCTATGGGTGTTTCTTCAAACAAGCTTGGGGTGCAGAGGACTTGGCCTGTGGGTGGCTCTTATAACAAGCTTCAGACGCAGGGGACTTGGCCTGTGGGTGGGTGGCTCTTATGACAAGTTTGGGACGCAGGAGACTTAGCCCATGGGTGGCTCTTAAAACAAGCTTGGGGCAAAGGGGGACTTGGCCTATGGGTGTTTCTTCAAACAAGCTTGGGGTGCAGAGGACTTGGCCTGTGGGTGGCTCTGATAACAAGCTTGGGGCAAAGAGGACACGGCATATGGGTGTTTCTTCAAACAAGCTTGGGGTGCAGAGGACATTGCCTGTGGGTGGCTCTTATGACAAGCCTAGGGCAAAGGGGGACTTGGCCTATGGGTGTTTCTTCAAACAAGCTTGGGGTGCAGAGGACTTGGCCTGTGGGTGGCTCTTATAACAAGCTTGGGGCAAAGAGGACATGGCCTGTGGGTGGCTCTTATGACAAGCCTAGGGCAAAGAGGGACAACAATCTGAATGGGTAAGGACTTACTTGAAGGGGTCAAACACCCAGTGTTTGGAGAGTTCCTGCATTGAGTAGCCATGCACCCAGTCCAGGTCCAGCTTCTTCAGGCCAGCGATGAAGTACACCAGGAACACCTGAAACATGGCAGTCAGCTTATCAGGTCTACTGAAACATGGCCGCTCATCAGGTCGACTGAAACATGGCCGCTCATTAGGTCTACTACAACATGGCATGTCATCAGGTCGACTGAAACATGGCCACTCATCAGGTCTACTGAAACATGGCAATCTGCTAATCAGGTCTACAGAAACATGGCAGGTCATCAGGTCGACTGAAACATGGCCACTCATCAGGTCTACTACAACATGGCAATCTGCTAATCAGGTCTACAGAAACATGGCAGGTCATCAGGTCGACTGAAACATGGCCACTCATCAGGTCTACTACAACATGGCATGTCATCAGGTCGACTGAAACATGGCCACTCATCAGGTCGACTAAAACATGGCAATCTGCCTATCAGGTCTACAGAAACATGGCAGCTCATCAGGTCTACTTCAACATGGCAGGTCATCAGGTCGACTGAAACATGGCAGGTCATCAGGTCGACTGAAACATGGCAATCTGCCTATCAGGTCTACAGAAACATGGCAGCTCATCAGGTCTACTACAACATGGCAGGTCATCAGGTCTACAGAAACATGGCAGCTCATCAGGTCTACTACAACATGGCAGGTCATCAGGTCTACCGAAACATGGCAGTCAGAGAATGTACTGTACACATGGAGCCTGCTACAGAGAATGTACTGTACACATGGAGCCTGCTACAGAGAATGTACTGTACACAAGGAGCCTGCTACAGAGAATGTACTGTACACATGGAGCCTGCTACAGAGAATGTACTGTACACATGGAGCCTGCTACAGAGAATGTACTGTACACATGGAGCCTGCTACAGAGAATGTACTGTACACATGGAGCCTGCTACAGAGAATGTACTGTACACATGGAGCCTGCTACAGAGAATGTACTGTACAAAAGGAGCCTGCTACAGAGAATGTACTGTACACAAGGAGCCTGCTACAGAGAATGTACTGTACATCATGTGGAGCCTGCTACAGAGAATGTACTGTACACATGGAGCCTGCTACAGAGAATGTACTGTACACAAGGAGCCTGCTACAGACAATGCACTGTACACATGGAGCCTGCTACAGAGAATGTACTGTACACATGGAGCCTGCTACAGAGAATGTACTGTACACCACATGGAGCCTGCTACAAAGAATGTACTGTACACCACATGGAGCCTGCTACAGAGAATGTACTGTACACCACATGGAGCCTGCTACAGACAATGTACTGTACACCACATGGAGCCTGCTACAGAGAATGTACTGTACACATGGAGCCTGCTACAGAGAATGTACTGTACACATGAAGCCTGCTACAGAGAATGTACTGTACACAAGGAGCCTGCTACAGAGAACGTACTGTACACATGGAGCCTGCTACAGAGAATGTACTGTACACATGGAGCCTGCTACAGAGAATGTACTGTACACATGGAGCCTGCTACAGAGAATGTACTGTACACAAGGAGCCTGCTACATAGGATGTACTGTACACATGGAGCCTGCTACAGACAATGCACTGTACACATGGAGCCTGCTACAGAGAATGTACTGTACACATGGAGCCTGCTACAGAGAATGTACTGTACACATGGAGCCTGCTACAGAGAATGTACTGTACATCATGTGGAGCCTGCTACAGAGAATGTACTGTACACATGGAGCCTGCTACAGAGAATGTACTGTACACATGGAGCCTGCTACAGAGAATGCACTGTACACATGGAGCCTGCTACAGAGAATGTACTGTACACATGGAGCCTGCTACAGAGAATGAATGATCTCTCCTCCATTAATTTCGGAGAGTGATATATATTTGGAATCATGTTAACACAGCATATTTACACGAATATTATGCAGAGAAATTGGCAATACTGAATATTTACATGTCGTGGTCCTGGTATGAGATATACTGTCTATGGATAGTGCATTGATCGCAGGTTCCAAGAGCTTATGTCTCGTGATACAGAAGATATGAATTCAGCCCATCTGTCAAGGCTCATATCCTCTACAATAGGGGTTATACCACCTAGCAATGTCACAAGTTTGACTTCATCATCTGCACAGTCCTCAATACGCATGTATTGTTCGAGGTTTAAAGAGTCAAATAGATGTTCATAGAGGGTGTTCCTTGCATCAGCTAAAGCTGTACAGCATAGCAGTTGGTGCTTTATTATGTCATCGCACTCCTCATCAGACATTAAACACTGTCCAGGTGTTATTGGTAGTGTTCCTAGCTTCACAAGTGCATACATTGGTCTAGTTGGTATATTGTACAGAATACACATATTCCACAGTCTATGAGGTATAAGCTTACTGTGAATTTTAATAAATCTGTTTAATTCAGGGTGATCTCGCAGACTTGTGTGCCAATGAGCAGTTTCATGTTCTGTTATTTTAGTCTGTACGGTTTTGTTCCATACATCCTTGGATGGAAACTGGTTAGTTTTCATAAAGTGAACTATTATGGTCCATAATTCATATTTCTTTGCCACATTGAGTAGATCATGTGTTACAGACTTACTTTTGTCACTGCCTGTTATATATTGAGCACACTTGAAATAGAACACCTTTTTCGGGGCATATCTGTGGCTGCTTCTACACATCCTCCCAAGGAAAATCAGCTTCATTTTGTCAATCACAGATGTCATTGTCCACAATCCCAGCGTCTGAATAGTTGCAACGGTCGGAGATCTTACATGAAAATTTTGTACATTACGTGCAAAGTAGTGCTGGAGTTTTTCAATTTCATTGTGCTCTGTCTCGGACATATTTGACCACAGTTCACACGCGTAGAAGGCACCTGGAATTATTACTCTACGCCATATTTTCATACAGCAGACTGGGTTCAGACCACCTGCTCTTAGTCCAATATCTCTCAGGGAATTCAAATTCTTCCTCGCCTTGGCGCAAGCTCTCCTGGTCCTTTCAGATTCTAAATGAGTACTGATAATAGAACCTGCATATATAGTGTTCGATTTCATTTCCAGTATATGGTTACCTAGTCTAAAAGAACATGGTTGGTTGATTTTGTTTCCACCTTTAAACACCAAAACACAGCTTTTGCTTGCATTATATGTCAATCTCCATTGGCAAGCATATTGATGTACAGTCTGTAAGGACATGCATAGGCCACTACTTGTTGAGCTTATGAGAGTTGTGTCATCCGCGAGTAGGACAACTGGGCAGTGATCACGTCCAAGCATAACACCTTGTTTCAAATGGTCAAGGTGGATTATAAGCTCGTTAATATACACAAGGAACATCCAGGCGGATAAGACACGTCCTTGTCCTACACTTTGTCCGATTGGGAACGTTCGACTTGTCTCAACGGCATATTTGACACATGCAGTAGATTCGTGATACGACTGACGTATGATATGCAGGCTTTCCCTTGCACACCAAGGATGAATAATTTTAGGAGTAGCCCATTGTGCCAAATGCGATCAAACGCTTTCTCATTATCAAGAAACACAGTGTATACATTGGAAGACCTTTCCGTGTAGAAAGATATGACTTCTTTGAGTGTGTAGGTAGCTATGTTTGCACCATGTTCTCGCCTGAAGCCACATTGTAATCTATGTGGGAAGTCGGGCTCCATATATTTGATATATCTCTCAATTCTCTCTAATAGGATCTTTTCGAACAGTTTTCCCACCACGGACGTCAGAGTGATACCTCTGTAATTTGTAGGATCCGATCTGTCCTTATTGTTTCCTTTATATATTGGAATAATTGTTCAAGATCTCAACAGTGCAGGGCTGTAGCATGTTCGTATCATCATGTTAAACAGCTGGGTTAAGTGTTTTAGAAGCATATCTCCAGCGAAATAGATATGTTCATTTGTGATTTGGCCGGTCCTGGTGATTTTCTCATTTTTAAGCTTTATTTCAGTCGTTTTAGTCGAGCCTGCTACAGAGAATGTACTGTACACATGGAGCCTGCTACAGAGAATGTACTGTACACATGGAGCCTGCTACAAAGAATGTACTGTACACATGGAGCCTGCTACAGAGAATGTACTGTACACAAGGAGCCTGCTACAGAGAATGTACTGTACACATGGAGCCTGCTACAGAGAATGTACTGTACACATGGAGCCTGCTACAGAGAATGTACTGTACACATGGAGCCTGCTACAGAGAATGTACTGTACACATGGAGCCTGCTACAAAGAATGTACTGTACACATGGAGCCTGCTACAGAGAATGTACTGTACACATGGAGCCTGCTACAGAGAATGTACTGTACACAAGGAGTCTGCTACAGAGAATGTACTGTACACATGGAGCCTGCTACAGAGAATGTACTGTACACAAGGAGCCTGCTACAGATAATGTACTGTACACATGGAGCCTGCTACAGAAAATGTACTGTACACAAGGAGTCTGCTACAGAGAATGTACTGTACACAAGGAGCCTGCTACAGAGAATGTACTGTACACAAGGAGCCTGCTACAGAAAATGTACTGTACACATGGAGCCTGCTACAGAGAATGTACTGTACACAAGGAGCCTGCTACAGATAATGTACTGTACATATGGAGCCTGCTACAGAAAATGTACTGTACACAAGGAGTCTGCTACAGAGAATGTACTGTACACAAGGAGCCTGCTACAGAAAATGTACTGTACACATTGAGCCTGCTACAGAGAATGTACTGTACACAAGGAGCCTGCTACAGAGAATGTACTGTACACAAGGAGTCTGCTACAGAGAATGTACTGTACACAAGGAGTCTGCTACAGAGAATGTACTGTACACGTTAAGCCTGCTACAGAGAATGTACTGTACACAAGGAGCCTGCTACAGAGAATGTACTGTACACATGGAGCCTGCTACAGAGAATGTACTGTACACATGGAGCCTGCTACAGAGAATGTACTGTACACATTGAGCCTGCTACAGAGAATGTTCTGTACACAAGGAGCCTGCTACAGAGAATGTACTGTACACATTAAGCCTGCTACAGATAATGTACTGTACACGTTAAGCCTGCTACAGATAATGTACTGTACACATGGAGCCTGCTACAGAGAATGTACTGTACACGTTAAGCCTGCTACAGATAATGTACTGTACACATGGAGCCTGCTACAGAGAATGTACTGTACACATGGAGCCTGCTACAGAGAATGTACTGTACACATGGAGCCTGCTACAGAGAATGTACTGTACACATGGAGCCTGCTGCAGAGAATGTACTGTACACATGGAGCCTGCTACAGAGAATGTACTGTACACAAGGAGCCTGCTACAGAGAATGTACTGTACACATGGAGCCTGCTACAGAGAATGTACTGTACACATGGAGCCTGCTACAGAGAATGTACTGTACACAAGGAGTCTGCTACAGAGAATGTACTGTACACATGGAGCCAGGTGTAGGGAGTAAATGAGCATGGTTTTAAGCTAGTTTTGAGCTGCTTTTAGATATATTCCAGCAATATCTTGACCTAGAACACCAGAAATGGGCTTCACATATACTATTTGTTCATATTCTTCATACACCACTGTAAAACAGTGCAATTTTTGTCAGCCTTATAAACCACTTTCTTCCAAAGTTGTTTTAAAACTAGCAATTTTTCAACAAAGGCAGGGAATCTTTTATTGAAATCGATTCATCATACAACAACTGAGCTGCCAAATCAAATTGGATGTTCCCGTTCAGAGATAATATCTACAATTTCACATAATTAAACTTTTCAGTTTCACTGTTGATATTGGTCTGGAAAAGAAATCCATATCTAAATCTAAATTTCATCAAATTCATACCATTAATGGCTAGCCAAATAAAAAAACCCACTTCTCATGTGATTGAAAACCTTGACTCCAGCATTTCAATTAATTTGTCAACATTGTTTCTGTCCTGGTGATTCAAAGACTATAATTGGAAGCGTGTGCAACAGCTTCAGTCCTTCAATCAATTCTCCAGCCTCTTATCATCAAAACAATGGCCCACTCAAAGATGCATCACGAATGTTTTGGGGGAGAAAATACGACACAAAGCTCTTTGAATTTATTCAATCAAACACACCCTGATTACCAAGGAAAAACATAGTTCAATCATCATCAAAGTCTAATCTCCTGGCTTTCCTGAAAGGAATCAATGGATCTGATGTTGCTGTTTCCAGCATTGACCCATGCTGAGAATAAAACCCAGGCCTTCTGAGTGATAAGCAAACACATTAACCACAAGGCTACCTACCCACTGCCTGTCTTAATTTAACTTAAAAAGCTGGTCAAGGCAATGGGTCGAGACAAGTCATAAAAGTCAGTTTGATACATTGTTGTGCCAAATGTTATTTCCAGGCTTAGAATAACTAAAGTACTGTCGAAAAGGAAGAAATAGGCTTTTCTGGCTTTATTTCTTACATGCAAATCACAGGGCTATGAAAATAGCATATATAAAAATAACACAAATCTACTAAATGAAGTATTTCCTAATTGATTGTGATTAGCCTAAAAAGGTACTTTTACAGGTATGATAAGCACAGAAATTATTTGTGTGTTGTCATGTATGTATAAAATGACCTATAGCCTGAGGTAATTACCTAATTTACACATGGAGGTGGTGAACTGACAAAGTCCGTGCATTTTCACAGGTTCAAATGTCCACCTCGTTGGTGGTGGTCTCCAAATATTGCTATACTTTATTGAGATATGCCTTGACAGGGGAAGCAAAATAGATGTGTGGATGAGATGTTTTATGAAGCCAACATTATTATTATTATTATTAAAACTGAGTCACATGCCCATATTTCAATAGTTTGTTTCAGACCTCAATGGACTTTCATTTTTGTTCAAATTTTCTCTTTTCGACCTACTTCAAACAACAGGTAGTCAGATCTGTAGTTACTTGATATTTCAATAGCACCAGTCTTTGAAACATTTGATTTTATGCCTCCAGGGCCTAGTGGTAGAGTGTGTCCGGAGAGTGGAAGGTCCGGGGTTTGATCCCGGGCTGCGTCATAACAATAGACATTAAAAGATGGTACTTGTTGTTACCATGTCTGGGGCTTGGCATCAAGGGGCTAAAATGAGGACTGGTCGGCTCGGAGTTTATTGTGTCTGAGTAGGTTTTTTATGTTAAACTGCGGCATGGTATTTTAGTTGGCTAGCACTATAAAATCAGCATCAGTCCAGTCAAACACACACACACACACACACACACACACTGCTATATAAGTGTAATAATCTTGGACGCAATGCTAAACCCCATTTCACATCACCTCACCTTTGACATACTTTGACCAAATGCTTTCCAAACCAGCACCCTATCCTAAAGAAGGAATATATAAGTTTATCATAAATGCACACATACTTTTCTGAGAAAGTGTAACCAGAAACGTTTTAGTGACATTTTCCCATCTCGTGACCTTGATCTATGACCATTTCATATCATGTGACAATAGAATTCCCTAGGTGTATGTGAAATAAATCCATTGTAGGATATCCACTAATGACAATAATCATAAGTACTCAAGAAGTGACGTTGACCGTTGAGAAACAGAAATGTATCAATACCTTTGATAAACGTTAACCACAAACTCTTGACCTTTGAGGTTTTCATGAAATGTGCCAAATCAATTCCCCAAACCAAACCAAACCGTAAAGCAGTCCTGTTTCACAAGACTGGTAATAATCAAGTCTGGGTCAGGGAGACCAGTGGTTGATGACAATCCACACATTTGGGGTATGATGACAAACAATCAGCCAGGTCACATGCACAGTGTAACCACTAGATGCTCATTGGTCAGCTCTTCGGATGACCATGGGGTACTGGCGACCTATTCTGCCCTAGCATTCCGATGGACACCTGCTGCTGAGACATTTAATCCAATTCCATGATGGTTAATAGACACCAGTTGTAACATACACAGCAATCATACCTACCAAGGTTCTCAGCAGAGTGTAATTCCACAGTGGAACATGAGCATTTCGGATCTTCGGGAATAACAAGCCATCCAGAGACCTGAAACACAATATGTACGTCAATACGATGCAGTCCCACCATCAGGATCAAGGTGAAGGACAAATGTGTGCCTTATTGTCTCAAAATCCAAATTCATATCCATGAACAGTTTCTCTATCATTTCATGTTCAAATATCACGTTGCAACTGTACAGAACCCTTTAATGTTATATTCCTCTTTGTTCCCCAGAGGGTGTACAACAAGCAAACTGTGTGTACACAAAGGTCCTAAAGAAACAAGAAAGGATAATGGAGGCTATACCATACAGTAGGAATGAAGGTCAGGACACTGTACAGGTAGGAGTGATTGTCCCTCGACTGTGACACTTACCAGTATCTGTTGGCATCAGAACATCAGAACAAGGCCAGGACACTGTACAGGTAGAAGTGATTGTTCCTAGGCTGGGACACTTACCAGTATCTGTTGGCATCAGAGAACAGTAGAACGAAGGTCAGGAGAACATACAGGAAGGAGTGATTGTCCCTCGACTGTGACACTTACCAGTATCTGTTGGCATCAGAAGATCAGAATGAAGGTCAGGACACTGTACAGGTAGGAGTGGTTGTTCCTAGACTGACACTTACCAGTATCTGTTGGCATCAGAGAACAGCAGAACGAAGGTCAGGACACCGTACAGGTAGGAGTGATTGTTCCTAGACTGACACTTACCAGTATCTGTTGGCATCAGAGAACAGCAGAACAAAGGTCAGGACACCGTACAGGTAGGAGTGGTTGTTCCTAGACTGACACTTACCAGTATCTGTTGGCATCAGAGAACAGCAGAACGAAGGTCAGGACACCGTACAGGTAGGAGTGATTGTTCCTAGACTGACACTTACCAGTATCTGTTGGCATCAGAGAACAGCAGAACGAAGGTCAGGACACCGTACAGGTAGGAGTGATTGTTCCTAGACTGACACTTACCAGTATCTGTTGGCATCAGAGAACAGCAGAACAAAGGTCAGGACACCGTACAGGTAGGAGTGGTTGTTCCTAGACTGACACTTACCAGTATCTGTTGGCATCAGAGAACAGCAGAACAAAGGTCAGGACACCGTACAGGTAGGAGCGGTTGTTCCTAGACTGTGACACTTACCAGTATCTGTTGGCATCAGAGAACAGCAGAACAAAGGTCAGGACACCGTACAGGTAGGAGTGGTTGTTCCAGGATGTCTTGTCCAGCAGGAAGACGTACCAGTAGGTGAGGAGGAAGGACAGACAACTCCAGCGAAACATGAAGCCCAGCATGATACCTGCTGAACCTGCATATGGAAGGTGAAAGGTCATGTGGGTGTTTGGAGAAGTCACTAGTTATCAAACCTCTTTCCTGACACAAAGAGAACCTCTATTTTATTTTCGATATGTTTATGTCTAAATGTACCAGATATTACATGAAAAACATTGAAGCAAATACTTCTTGATTTCATCAACATTAGCATCAGTCGTTCAAGTTGATGTTGAGTTTGGTTGAATAGTGCTTTGACCAATAATTCAGTTACAAGGCTTGCCAACAAGAGGAAAGACAGATGGGATGCAGGTTGCAGATGCCAAACACTATGGGGAAACCTAAGAGTTCTGGTATTGCAGGTTGCAGATGCTAAACACTATGGGGAAACCTAAGAGTTCTGGTATTGCAGGGTGCAGATGCTAAACACTATGGGGAAACCTAAGAGTTCTGGTATTGCAGGGTGCAGATGCTAAACACTATGGGGAAACCTAAGAGTTCTGGTATTGCAGGTTGCAGATGCTAAACACTATGGGGAAACCTAAGAGTTCTGGTATTGCAGGTTGCAGATGCTAAACACTATGGGGAAACCTAAGAGTTCTGGTATTGCAGGTTGCAGATGCTAAACACTATGGGGAAACCTAAGAGTTCTGGTATTGCAGGTTGCAGATGCTAAACACTATGGGGAAACCTAAGAGTTCTGGTCATGGCATGGTTGGCATGGTTCCTAGCAAGGAATTTTAATAATGTTGTTGTTTAATAGTACCGGTATTTTTCTTTTCAAGTATTCTTTTCAAACTAGTTCTAAACACAAATCTATGATGTTAGGGCTGAGATGGGTAATTCGGGAACTCGGGTCAGGTGGGTCCTGAGTACGACCCGGGTACCCACACGACTACCTCGCTACAACGCTACCAATGGGGTCCAAATAATTGGTGGGCGTTATAGACGATGAGCCGTTTAACCGAGGCCGAGGCGGGGGAGCGCGTTCGGCAAATCTCAAATCATCAATATGTGTTTATCTCACGTCACGACAAAATAGTATATATTTTTATGGACCTAGATCTACCTGTAATATCATTCATTTATTAAATCTGTCACATTTCACAATGTCTGAAATACGTATTCCATTTCAATTTATCATTTTTTATCAATAAATTAAAAAATTATTCACTATTTCCCGCGATGTTATTGAAAATAAAATTCTCGGACACACATTTCGACAACGGATCCGCATCGAACATGTCAAAGAGCAAAATAAAGACGTTTTAAGCAAATCTTTAACTATATTATACAAAGTGATAAATAAAATCAACAAAAATATATCTAAAAGTAATCAAACGTACATCTAAGTTATTATTTCCATCGTTTCGTGCGATCGCGTGTAATGTAAGTCAAATGACATCTCGGCTTTCGTCGCCTTGAATTCTCGGCTCGGACACAACGTTTAATGCAAAATATATGCATGAAAAATCTTTGTCACAGCTCGTAACCTAGCACGATACATTCACGAAGTTCCATATTTTTAATATATATAGTGATTTCCTGCTTAAAACGTTCAGAATAACATGATTTAACAAAAATCTTTCGCCAACTTCTGAAATTTATCAAACACGAGCTTGGTATCACAGCTGTAATTTGATTGGCTGCATGAGGTCACGTGCTCAAAATTGACCAATCACGAAACTTGTAGCAGATTTCGGCAAGAAAGCGTCATTAGAAACAAATTTCCTCGTATTTCTACTTGCCCCAGGAGTCGGGAAATGGCAAATTTCCACCCCTGAGTGGCATTGATTGGTCATGTTGCTTAAAATACGGAAAACGAGAGTTTTGACCAGCACTATTCGCATTCATACACATTCAAACAAATATAGATACACATTCAAGCCAGATTAATTGGTTTGATACGGTTACTTGATCCGAATCAAAAGGAATGACCGCCGTGTTGTGACAGCAACTACATGTGAGTTGACAGTGTCGCCTCAAATTGGATTGCCCACTAATTAAGAATATAAACTTCGCTTGTGGTTCTCTTTTATTGCATGCATGCGCTTCTAAGATCAAAGGATGTATAGTGTGAAAAGTTAACTAGTTGAACAATCGTATTTCCGGGACTTGCCGCGGATGTTTTCAAACAGATTATTAGAACTCCATTCAGCGATAAACGGTTGATTATGCAATGACCGAGGTAGCGCTTTATCGGAGAGCACAATAGCAAGGGATCACTGTAGTAAATTTGGATTTGTCCCAGCCCTAGTTACTAGTTATTTTACTGTCTGATGACATTACTTTGTGTAGTCACAATATGGCTCTGAAATTTTGCTGACATGACTTAAGATTTTAAATCACTCACTCGCTAAAGGCAAAAATTAAGTTGGAGAACTGCATGGACCCATTCTGGTATCATTTTATTCTGGACAAGTGGAAGGCACTACTGGCCGTATAGGGAGCACTAACCTAGAAGCATGATGAGGTACACAATGTACATCCACACAAGGGGAAGTGGCTGCAGGAAGTTGAAGAGGGGGAACCGACACTCGTCTGCATTACCCCAGCGTACATCCGCCATCCCCAGACCTCTCTCCTGGGGGATGTCGAACATCATCAACAGACCTGAAACAGGGACAGATATACAGTCAGGAGAGACACTGCATGAATCAACCCCTCTCTCCTGGGGGATGTCGAACATCATCAACAGACCTGAAACAGGGACAGATATACAGTCAGGAGAGACACTGCATGAATCAATCACTCTCTACTCGTGGATGTCGGACATCATCAACAGACCTGAAACAGGGACAGATATACAGTCAGGACAGACACTGCAAGAATCAATCCCTCTCTACTGGGGGATGTCGAACATCATCAACAGACCTGAAACAGGGACAGATATACAGTCAGGACAGACACTGCATGAATCAATCACTCTCTCCTGGGGGATGTCGAACATCATCAACAGACATGAAACAGGGACAGATATACAGTCAGGACAGACAGCGATGAATCAACCCCTCTCTCCTGGGGGATGTCGGACATCATCAACAGACCTGAAACAGGGACAGATATACAGTCAGGACAGACAGCGATGAATCAACCCCTCTCTCCTGGGGGATGTCGGACATCATCAACAGACCTGAAACAGGGACAGATATACAGTCAGGACAGACACTGCATGAATCAACCCCTCTCTCCTGGGGGATGTCGGACATCATCAACAGACCTGAAACAGGGACAGATATACAGTCAGGAAAGACAGCGATGAATCAACCCCTCTCTCCTGGGGGATGTCGGACATCATCAACAGACCTGAAACAGGGACAGATATACAGTCAGGACAGACACTGCATGAATCAACCCCTCTCTCCTGGGGGATGTCGGACATCATCAACAGACCTGAAACAGGGACAGATATACAGTCAGGACAGACACTGCATGAATCAATCACTCTCTATTCGTGGATGTCGAACATCATCAACAGACCTGAAACAGGGACAGTTATACATTAAGGACAGCAACTTTCATGATAATTCAATATTTCTTTTATTGTCTTTTTCCACTTCTATACCAAAGAAGACAAGTATTTGTCACAGAGTGACGAAATATCCCCCGCCTGTACACCATAGTACCAAATATGAAGACAATCCAGCGATTAGTTCTTGAGATATTGTGGCAACACCGTTTTCCAACTCCAAAAACAGATTTGCCTGCTGTGACCTTGAAAATGGGGTCAAGGTCACCAAATCTGACAGGTGTATGCGGTGTCTGTATATACACTATAGTTCCAAATATGAAGACAATCCAGTCATTAGTTCTTGAGATATCGCGGCAACACCGTTTTCTAACTCCAAAAGCAGATTTGCCTGCTGTGACCTTGACAATGGGGTCAAGGTCACCAAAACCGACTGGTGTCTGCGGTGTCTGTATATACACCATAGTTCCAAATATGAAGACAATCCAGTGTACAGTTCTTGAGATATCGCGGCAACACCGTTTTCCAACTCCAAAAGCAGATTTGCCTGCTGTGACCTTTAAAATGGGATCAAGGTCACCAAAACCGACTGGTGTCTGCGGAGTCTGTATATACACCATAGTTCCAAATATGAAGACAATCCAGTGTACAGTTCTTGAGATATCGCGGCAACACCGTTTTCCAACTCTAAAAGCAGATTTGTCTGCTGTGACCTTGAAAATGGGATCAAGGTCACCAAAACCGACTGGTGTCTGCGGAGTCTGTATATACACCATAGTTCCAAATATGAAGACAATCCAGTGTATAGTTCTTGAGATATCGCGGCAACACCGTTTTCCAACTCCAAAAGCAGATATGCCTGCTGTGACCTTGAAAATGGGGTCAAGGTCACCAAAACCGACTGGTGTCTGTGGAGTCTGTATATAAACCATAGTTCCAAATATGAAGACAATCCAGTGTTTAGTTCTTGAGATATCGCGGCAACAAACAGGTGTGACGTACGGACGGACGTACGGACGGTCGTGAATACTATATCCCCCGCTTCGCGCTTTCGCGTGGCGGGGGATAAAAATGAAGAAGACAAACGATATATTGTTCTACAATGTGTGTCATATGGCTTGAAGCACTTTTGCCATGACTGCTCATTTATCATGAGCATAACCGTATGACCATAATTAAATACTCGTTTCCACCATGTTGTTTTGGAGAAATTACACACTGATCTGCTCAGATTGTTTATGGACACTAAAGGAAGGAATGCTGAAGCTACAGTGGTATTTTATCAATAATGGTTGTCAGTATTAACAATGTTTGTTTGTTTGCTTGTATATTTGTGAAGTTTGAGTAATTAGTGAAGTGTGTGTAATCAGTGAAGTCTCTGTGTAATTAGTGAAGTGTGTGTAATTAGTGAAGTCTGAGTAATTAGTGAAGTGTGTGTAACCAGTGAAGTCTGTGGAATTAGTGAAGTCTGTGTAATTAGTGAAGAGTGTGTAATTAGTGAAGTCTGAGTATTTAATGAAGTGTGTGTAACTAGTGAAGTCTGTGTAATTAGTGAAGTGTGTGTAATAAGTGAAGTCTGAGTGTTATTAATGGAGTCTCTGTGTACTTAGGGAAATCACTGTTAAATTAATGAACTAGAGAAGTGTAATAAGCGTAAGTGTAATTAGTTAAGTCTGTGTAATTAGTGAAGTCTGAGTAATTAGTGAAGTGTGTGTAATTAGTGAAGTCTGAGTGTTATTAATGGAGTCTCTGTGTAATTAGTGAAATCTCTGTGTAATTAGTGAAGTCTGAGTAATTAGTGAAGTGTGTGTAATTAGTGAAGTCTGAGTGTTATTAATGGAGTCTCTGTAATTAGTGAAATCTGTGTAATTAGTGAAGTCTGAGTAATTAGTGAAGAGTGTGTAATTAGTGAAGTCTGAGTATTTAATGAAGTGTGTGTAACTAGTGAAGTCTGTGTAATTAGTGAAGTGTGTGTAATTAGTGAAGTCTGAGTGTTATTAATGGAGTCTCTGTGTAATTAGGGAAATCACTGTTTCATTAATGAACTAGAGAAGTGTAATAAGCGACGTCTGTGAAATTAGTTAAGTCTGTGTAATTAATGAAGTCATTAGCTACTAAATTGATATACAGAATGCTAAATAAGCAAGTAGACAACTACGGGTTGTTTGGACGGCCTGGATTAAACTGGCTCAGACTTCCCAAGCCTACTTGAATTACAAGTATTAAATTGTGCATCTGTCCATTACATGAAATTGTCGTAGCTGTTTCCCCAGCTTGCTAAATGGCTGGTAATGTGAACAATCATCTCAGTGAACTTTCCCATGCCCTGGGTTAGAGTTTGTCCCCAGCAACCTACACTGGTTGCAAGTCGGGACTTAATGGATCGGTCGGTCAGGCTCGGTGATTGGTTGATGGCGTGTCATTGTACCCGGATAGTGTAGATTGTTGCTCATAATATCAGTCACTGGACTGTCTGGTCCATATTCGAGTATTTCCAGCAGTTATCATAATGTGTTAAAGGTGTTAAACAACATGCATGCACACGCTCACACACATACAAACACACACACACATCCTTTCATGCATGGTTGGTTCGTTGGTTTCTTGTTCAACGCCGCACTCAGCAATATTCCAGCTATATGACGGCAGTCTGTAAATAATCGAGTCTGGACAAGACAAGCCAGTGATTGATATCATGAGCATCGATCCATGCAATTGGGATACGATGACAAGCATCCACCAAGTCAACAAGCCTGACCACCCGATCTCGTTAGTCGCCTCTTACGACAAGCATAGTCGCCTTTTACGGCAAGCATGGGTTGCTGAAGACCTTTTGTAACCCGGATCTTCACAGGTCCCTTTATTCATGTATTAACTGAAATAATTGAATTGCTACTCCAAGTATGTTTCAAGCACAGAATGTGAGAAGAATGTCAAGAAAGGCTGGTAGTTGGAGGTATTTGTGCAACTACTCCCCACTGTATCTGATCATCAACACAGGCAGAACCTATTTACTCAAGTCCGTCCTGCTGACAAAACTACTTCTTCAGAGAAATTACTCGAAGTTTACAAAATTATCTAAACATGACTAACAGGCAAATATTGAATTTAGCAGAGCAAATTATTCATCCTTATAAGAAAATCAATTTAACTAACATTCTTAAGATTTTTCTTTACATCATAAACAGGCTTATAAGACCGAATCCTCAAACATTTATAATTGCTTCAAAAGAAAACAGTTCCTGAAATGAGGCCCATTAGTTGTGTACTGGAGGATAGGGTGAAATATCATGCTGGCGCTGTTCCTTTGATGCCGATATCAACAGTAATACAATCAAAGTTACACTCAACAATAACACTGTACATCAGACAATTACATTCACTGATTAGTCCATTTTGCCTCTTAACCTTGCGTGACTCCTTTGCTCAAAAGACAAAACATTTCAGGCTACAGCGGAAGAATGCATTTCGTGGAGCCATGCTGATTGAGTGTAGGACCATTTCCGTGGAGTGTACAAACACTGTAATAAGCTTGGACAGGAGGGTTACGGATGTGAGGGGCTTGTTGTGCAATCAGTGTTCCGAGCACAACTAATTTGGTTGCTTGTAGCACAGTATCTCCAAATTAATCTTGGGTCAGCAGATTACGGAGGAGAAAGTTACGTCTGTCCGAAAACATTAGACAATTATCTAATAAAAGTAATCCTTTCCACTAACTGCCTGAAGGATCTGCCGGTTTGATGGGAGCACTAAACATGGTTTGATGGTATCTTTCTACATACAGAGCAGACACATTACAATGGAAACAGTTACCATGTTGTACACGTATTACCATTTGTCAATTCTCTTTGAGTTTCTAGCTTCTGTTTTGATCTGGCAAAGATATAGGTTCCTTTGATGACTAATTTCCTAAGGATAGTGAAGCAAAAGTTGAATGATCATACTGAATTGTGGGTATGCTTGGGGATACCAGAATTACAGTGATTGAGCAAGTTTATTGCTATGTTCCAGCAATATCATGGCAGCCTGTTGGGAGACCAAATATGGCTCCACACATAGCACCCATGTAGGGAATCAAACCCGAGCCTTCGGTGTGATGAGGAGCACACTTACCACCAGGCTTCCTCACCTTGACACCAGGCTA